AACTTAGTTACTAATGGTGGGGTTTTAGACCTCAGCAATAGAATAGGCATCTATGTGGTTAGGGTCCTAACTCCCCAATATCTTCCCCTTCAACTCACCAGCTGCAATTATGCAATTAGGGCTTCACTCCTTTGGTTCAAAGCTTCATTCTGTTAAGAGGTAATTCTTCCTCCCGCTTTAGTAATAGATACTTAGTGGGCACACAATTATCACATCCTTTCCTGAGGACAGAATATTAGGGGGAAGGGATGGAGATGAAGAGGATATTTGGTAATCAAGGGAGCAGGAAACTTTCACTGGAGAACGGTTGCAGGACCCAGCAGGAATACTGAGAGAGTTGGAAATTCTGGTACATCCTCATTTCCAGGGACTTCAGATATGTCCAGTAGCGCAAAGTGCAATAGGAGCTTGACCTAGAGAATGTTAGTGATGCTAGTGCCCTTGAGGCCATCAGCCCCAACCTCACTCTTTCACAGATGAAGAGCTCAGTGTTCTGAGAGGCCCTACCTAAGGTCACCAAGTTACAGCCAGGACCAAGGCTGGAAATCAGGTCTGCTGTCTCCAAGATGGCACCATCAGATGTGATGGCACCATCACAATTCATCTGTGACAAACAATCAAGCATGATAATTGTGATTTCCTTTGCTGTTACATTACTGGAACTTACCTTTGTTCTGACACGCTTTTGTGAATGCAGGAGACACAGGTACAGTTGTAGCTGCCATTCCCTAGTTTTGACCTAACGTAACCCTGGACATGTCCATGGAGGTGTGGGTGTATATGAAAGTCACCTGCCATGTGTTAGGGGTTTGTGTGGGAACCTGTGTGCTCCCGTGTTAGCATGTCAAGGAACGGGAGCCCCTTTATACTTCTATAATGAACAGCTTCTCCTTCAAATCTCTGCAATCTTAAATGCGGGTTGGATGTCCCTTATTCCACCATGTAGACATGTTATGGGGGCCCAGGGTTCCCACCCGGTTTTGAGAAACTGTAGAGACTGTTTCAGCGAGAAGTCCTGCCCTTTCCAAGTAAGTCAGTTTTCAGAGGACTCCCATGGCGGTGAGCACCTGCCTCCGTACCCCAGGCCAGACCCCAGCAAAGGAAGATAGGCTATAGCTCTTTCAGATTTCTCTCTCAGTAACTGACGTAGCTTTTGCCTCTTTTAAAATTCAACATATTGCTTCTTGCAAGACTCAGGCAGGAGTTCCAAGTCAAACAAGGGAGAGAGTGTGCTGTCCTCCCCACTGCTGTTTTTCTCTGTTATTCTGACCCCTGCAGAGTGCCCTGGGGCCATGACCAGAGCTGTCAATGACACAGCGCAGATGTGAGTGGTGGAGTCAAAGAAAGCCAGCAACCAAAGCATTCAGCCCACTGCTTCTGAAATAGAATCAGTGTGCAAGTTCATACGTACATGTGTAGATACGTGTTTGCTTTTCCTACGAAAACTTTAGTTAGCAAGAAAATTGCAAGTGGCCATAATCCTCCAGCCTTAAAGGCAGCCTGTATGCTGGTGCTGATTTTTCAAGTAAATTGGCTTCCTTCATCAATGTGCTTCCCACTAGCCAGAGAGTTGCCCGGAAAGGCTGTCTTCTTTCACCTGCCTTCTTTGAGGGAGGTCTACAGTTGCCTTGTTGACATGGCAGTCACTAAAGAGGAGGGGACTCTGGCTATAGCCTTAGTCTAGGCAGCCTAAACAGGGAGGCAGAAACCCCTCTCCAGCCCCGGGTGCCTGGAGATGTGAAATCTGGGTCATGATGGCCATTCAATAGTCAGGCTTGCTGTGCAAGTCCAGAACTTCAGAACGGTGGTTGGCCTGCAGCCCCTGAGGTTCAGCAGGGACTCAGTATGATTTCTAAGAGTTTCCCATCCTCATCAGCTTCCCACATTCTGGTCTTCCTGTTGCCCTTGGGAGCCTCTAACCAGAAGAAGAGTGGAAGGGGAAGCGATCCAAAGATTACTTCTATCCCTAGTCACTCACCCCCACTGACTCACTCATCTCCTGCTGGGATTTTAAAGCCAGGATAGAAGGGCTGGGGTAAGGTTTGACTTTTTAAGAAAACTTTTAGCAACTGCTGCCTGCTTCTTATTCAAATTTGGCTGACAATTATTGAATACTTATTATGGGCTAGGCATTGTGCTAAATGCTTTCACATATCTAATCTCACACAATTCTTATAACAACCCTGAGAGGGAGGGATGAATATCCCCATTTTACAGATGGTAGGATTGTAGAGGTAGAGAATGCTGGAAAATGGAAATGGAGAGCCACCAACACTTTGGAGGCAGACCTGAGTTCCAGGCTCTACTTTGTCTTTTACTAGCTGTGTGACATGGGAAAGTTACTCAATTTCTGAGCCTTGATGTCCTGATTGGCAATATAGGCATTGACTTACAGGGCAGTGACAAACAAATGAACAATGCATGTGTAGTTGGCATGCTGCCTAGCACACAGTGGGCATGCAATACATTAGGCAATGATGACTCTTGGAAAGATAGGTCTAGTAGATGTGTGCAGGGCAAAATTGGGGAGGCCGATGTTGGAGATGGGAGTCAGAATAGAAAGCCATGGGTTTTAGGCAACAGTCTCAGCTGAAGCCAGTTGGGGGTGGGTGGAGCAGGAATAGACAGATAGATCAGTAAAACAGAATGGAAAGCCCAGAAATAGATCCACCATAAAATGGAGCTTAGTTTATGATAAAGGAGGCATTATAAATTAGTGGACAAACTGAACCATTCAGTAAGTATGTTGGCTTCCTCTGTGGAAAACAAAAACAAAAACATTAGATCCCTACCTCACACCACAATTAAAAATAAACTTCAGACGGCTTAAGGACTTAAATGCTCAAGAGAATGTTTTTATGGTATGGAGATAAGACATTAATGTCAGAAATCATAAAGGAAAATGTTAAAATTTTAAACTTCTGGAAAAGTAAAAAGCAAGTTAAAAAGGATTAATATTCAAAAAATATAAAGAATTTCCTTAAGTCAATATTTTAAAGGACAAAGATTCCAATAGAAAAATGAAGACTATAAGCCAACAACTCACAGAAGAACCCTGAATGTCCAATATACATGTGAAAAGATGTCTGGGCCTCAACAGTAAGTGAGGGTATTTGGTTTAAACAAGGAAATTCAATTGCACATTATTAGCTTGGTAAAAATAGAAAATCACAGCAATACAAAGTATTGGTGAAAATATACGGAAACAAGAATTCAGCAGGTAGGAAAAACTATTTTAAAGAACAATTTTGGTAACATCTAATAAAATTGCAAATACTCGTACCCAATGACTGAACTCTCCTCTTCTAGGTTATATCTTAGGGAAATTCTTGTACATGTTTTATAAATACTGCTTATAGAAACAAAAAAAAAATGAAAACCACAAAATGCCCACAACTGAGGATATGAGTAAAACAAATAAGTCCACATGATGAATTACTGTACAGCAACTAGAAGGCATGAAGCCAATCTACACATATCAATATAGCTAGATCTAGAATACACAATTTTGAGTGATAAAGGCAAGTTGCAGAATATTATGTATAGGATGATGCATTTTTGAAACAAAAAACATGGAACAATGTTATATATTGTTTATCAATACATGCATGTGTGGTGAAAATATAAAGACATGAACTGGGACACAGGGAAACCATCATAGGGTGGAAGGAGGGAGGAAGGGGAACAGGACTGGTGTGAGGACATGAGGTATTTTAATTCTGTAATGTTTTATTTCTTTTTAAAAAGATCTGAAGTAAAAATTTACAAGTAAGCATTTGTTCAATTGTGGTGGCAGGCACATGGCTTCTTTCAGGGTGTTTTTTCCTTTTAAAAATGAGCGTACCTGGGGTCACTCTGTCTCACTCTCTTCTTCCAGAGCCTGGCTCTCCCTCCCTTCTCTTCATCAAGGAGTTAGAATCAGGAATGTCATCAATCATGGGAACAACTTCTTGCTGTTCTTGTAGGACCTTTTTATCTTGTCTCCGAGACAGTGTCTTTTCTTCCCCTGGCTTTATCAAGGAATTTAACCTTTCTAGCGTTCGTCTAGAACTTGTAGTAAGCGTGATATTAAAAGCAAAGCATCCACTCCAGTGATCTTGGTGGGAAAAAATTACATAATTTCTAAAGTGCTGTGAGTCAAACTCTGAAATGAAAGCTATAAGACTATTGCGTTTAAGTATGGTCACATTCACCCCAGAAGGCTCAGACAGGTACATAAAAAGACTATTTACAGCGGTGTGGGCAGGGTTGTGGGAACGCACCGGGACGGTGAGGCGCTGGAGAGGAGCAACAGCGAAAGTCATTACCACCCTAAGGCTAAAGGGGGGAGGAGAAAAACAGTGTAATTGTGTCCCAGTAAAAACGGAAACTCCGGAGGAGAGGATGCCTGGTGGCAACTGCAGTCATAGAGGGCAGCACCTAAGACCAGTACATGACACCAAAGCAGGGAGAGGGTAGAAAATCAGTGAGAAGAAATACCGTGAGCTATCTTTCCTCCCAGCTGCTAACCTCTTCTAGGTGCCTCCCATTGGCTAAGTCCAACTGGAAGCCAAGTACGAGGCATTCTGGGAGATGTAGTCCACAGGAGTCACCCCGCATCCCCAACCTCCTCTCCCCCTAGGGAGGCAGAGAACGAATCTGGCATGGGGGTGGGGGAAGATGGAGAATCAGCAGGCTAAGAGCTAAAGGAATCCAAGTCCTGGTATTAAGCTAGTGATAGCCACATAATTGCGTTTGGAAGAGCAGAGGGAGAGACCTGGGGCAGGCTGCCCTTGGAGAGAGGTCACTGTTAAGGAAATAGAAACCAAAGAAGAGGAATATGGCTTGGAACTGGGGCTCTTGCTCAGCCTCCTGGGAACGAGACGGGCAGGCCTCCCGAGACCCAGTGTGAGAGGCAGAAGGAGAGGGACAGGGGACTTCAAGATGGGCCCAGAGGGAGTTGGCAGCCAGTGGCTATAAAGCACCATCTGCTTCTTCCAAGTGGGAATTCATAGGTAGCCATGGTGCATGATGAGTGCACAGATGTGGAAGGAAGCGGGCGGCTGATGGAAAGCAGGCGAGTGGGAGGGAGAGGCGCTGTGTGTGAGACCCAGCATCTGCCTGATGCTAACGCCAAGACCACCCTCCAGCCTGAGGCCTCATGGGAAACTGCTTGTCCCACTATCCAGGCTCCAGGCTGTCCGGAGATGCCTCCAGGAGCCCCAGACTCACTGCCTCCCACAGCGGCCCTCCAGCAGACAGTGACACCCACCAACTCACTAAGATTTCTCTCAGTTCTGGGCTTCCCAGCTGAGGTCTGTTTGGCCTGACTGTGACAGGGAGAACAGCGCTGGAAAACAGCTCAGGCCAGGGCGGCGTCTTGACCATCTGTACTCCCCTCCTGTCCTGCCCCGCACTCTTGAGTGTCTGGTGGAGTGTATGAACTTAGAGGTTCCATACTATAGCAATAGCCAGTGGCAGAAGAAGGGGTCCTCAGGCCCTCCTCTGGCTGTGAAATCTCCGTGGTGACATCACTTTCAACCTGAGACTGCTCAAGTCAGGGAGGGATGAGATGAGACTTGGAGGCTTAGCCTCCTAAAGCTAAAAGAGGTGGGTGTCACTCGGCCCCCCTTGGGGCCTTAAGCTCTAACTGAGCAGTACCATGGCTAACCAACTGCAACTAGACTGCATGCTCCTTGAGGACTGGAGCTGAAATTTGGCTGTTTTTTTCTTTTTTCTGTTTTTCATTCCTACAGCACATTTCCCCTGCACATATCTGGCACTTAGGGATTGTTTAATTTAATCTGATCTAGTCTTTCCTTTCAGAGACAAGGAAACAAAGGCCCCATGATAGGCATGGACCCTGATCGAGCACAGTGAGGGCAGAGCCTGTACCAGAACCTGGGCCCCTTCATCCTTGTCCATTGCTCTTTCTACTCCAGCAGCGTAAGTCTCCTTGTTATTCTGCTAAGTGATTTTCTGGGGTTGCATTTCCACCAGGTGAAGGGCATAGCATTTAGCCTCATAGGTTTCCTGACCACTGGCTCCCCACCAGAGATAGATGGACCTTCCCTAGCATCGAGCTGGGTGCCATGGAAAGCTCAGAACTTGATTTGTTATAGAAAAATGCATGTGCTAAGTCGGTCTCCCCAGGGGACATTTTAGCTACATGACTCATGGGGTCTTCAAAGATCCTGCTCCATTTAAGGTGATCTATTTGCAAGCATGTGTAGGCTTTGAGAATTTTACAGTGGTTTGTGAAGAGGGTGGAGTATACATTCAGAATGCATGAGCCTTTCCTGGACTGTAAATAACATTGTATGAGTGTATGTGTGAGAGAAGACTGATAATGATTGTGTCAAAGCTTTTTAGAAACAGATCACTACCTCTTGTCAGATCTGAAATGATTTTCTGCAAATAGGAATTTGCTGACCCAAATTAGACCTGCAGAATATTTATCCTTCTGGGTTGCTGAGGTGCCCAGCTGTGGGAGCAGACCCAGAGAAGAGGTGCGGCTAAGGAAGTGAAGTCAGTGGCCTCTTCTGCACAGCCCTGGGCTTAGCTGTGACTGTGTGATAGGAATTCAGGTGGAAGCATCACACTTTTGCCCCATTCATCCCCGCTTCTAAGCCTGTGCTGCAGGAATTTGTGTGAGGTGAAAGAAATGGATGCTCCCTCCTGTAAACAGCCTTTGCCTTAGATCTGGGGAAGGATGGACATTCCTGGCAACCCTCCTGGGGAATCAGCTAGAGGCTGCGTGGATGCAGACTTGACTTCAGGTAAAGGTGTCCCCCTACAGTGTCCCCCATCACTCTGGATCTTCTAAAGGGCAGTGGATTTGTCTTGACCTTGGGGAGGGTAGCTTTGACCAATAGAATAATAGAAGCAGGACCGGCAGCTCAACCTGTAGAGGGAGTGTGCAGACAGTGGCACGCCAGCACCCAGTGTCTCAAAAAAAAGGCATTGGAGCTAATCTTGAGCCCACTCTCTCTTCCCCCTCACATCCAAGCCATCAATAAGTCCTGTCAGTGCTTGCTCCGGTGAAGATCCAAACCGGGCATTTCCCTTCTCCCCACTGAGCAAGCTTCACCCAAGTTCGCCTCTGTATTCTCTCAAAGGGGTCTCTTGACTATTAAAAGGAGCCTAACTTCCCCTCTTCCACCCTCCTTTGCTCTCTTCTAGGTACACTTCTTTATTGGTTAACCTACCTTCCTTCTGGGAGGAAGGAACACTTTTGCAATGTCCCCAGAGGGACATTTGCCACCTGGAATCCAACCGAATGGAGTCTGCCAGGAGCTTGTGCAGCATCTGCAATGCCAGTTCCAGTTTACAGAGGACTCAGGCTGGCAGTGAGGACTCAGCTGAGATCATCAAACCTTTGGGACTGGCTTGAGCTCAAAATGCTAGGTGCCCTGAGCCAAGAAGCAACGGAACTCACTTGTGGCTCCCTTGTCCTGAAGCCACAGGGCCACATGCTGAAGGCCTGCCCCTGCAGCTCTCTCCAACCTCATCAGACCAGCAAAACCACCTTGTTCCTAAGTCCTTTCTAGAAGCTGGCATGCCTGGGGTGAAAACATCCAGTGTCCCAATGAAATATATGCCATTTATATAAGGTACACTGCTTTGTCGTTGTTAACACAGTGAGGGGATGGGAGGCAGGCATTTCAAACTCATGACTTCAAGGCAACCCAAACAGATGTTAAAGCCTGACCATCCTTTTTGTTAAGATCATAAATACAGCTCAATTTATTGTAATGCTCAGAGGTGTCAGGCACTGTTCTAAGTACTTCATTAACCCTCTCAACAACCATGAAATGTAGATATTGTTATTACGTCCATGCCACAGATGAGGAAACTGAGGTACAGAGAGGTTAAGTAACCCACAGGTTTACAAAACTATCAAGCGCCAGAACAAACTACAAACTATCAACCCAGCACCAGAGCCTATGCCCTTAACCACACTATAATATATATATGGAGGTCATGCCTAGTTTTAAAAAGAAGCACTGCGGTTTTTTCTCTGCAGCTACCACCTCTGGCACCGTGGGCAGGAGGCAAGGCCTGGTCTGTAGAGTGTGTGGGTCTTGAACTCCCAGCATGCAGCTCTTCAGCCTCCAAGGGTGCTGGCCACCTCTGAGCACTCATTAAAGTCAGATGTAATTTCTCTGTTGTCCAGTTCAGTTGGGAAGGGGGCTACTCAGTGTAATCTAATATCTTAGTTTATACATTCTGCAGGGTTTAGGGTCTACAGGAGTGTGAAAATAGCAGATTATCAGACTGACAAGACCCAATTTTGGCCTTGTGATTTTGTGTCCTGTGAGCTTGGGTGCTACAGATGTGGAAGGTGGAAGAGAGTGAACTGAACATTTAGGGACCCTCTGACACCACTGGAAAATGTTTTTGCAATCCCTGCTCTCTATTTGTTTATGCATCATTTTGCACAGAAGTAGCTGAGCGCGTGTAATCACATAGCCCAGCCCAACTGGCCTGTTAACAAAGCTATCTAATCACTGGCATGCCAAGCGAACCACTAGCCTTGACTACTTTACTCTGACATTTAGTTAAACAGAGATGATGCCCTTATGCCTTCCAAAATGGCTGCATCATAAAATATTAAAGTAACGGAAGTGTCTGCGAGTGAGAGCTCTCAAGGAAGGAGGAATATTCCTTACAAGTACAAACAACAGCCAAGTGTATCTGACAATGAATGCATCATTTACAGGCCAGCTTGTGGCATCATTAAAAACGGATCTTACTGTTTGTTGGGGGCTTGGGGAAATTAACGATTAAAAAAAAAGAAATTGGCTCAAAAAGACATGGTGGCCTTAGTAGTCTGGGAAAAAGGAATATGATCATTCGGGAAATATTAATGAGCTTCCACAGTATGAGAGGCACTGGACTAGGCATGGGGACACAGAGGGAAGAAGGTCCCACCTTTGTGAAGCTCAAGTTTAGAGGGTGAATGGGATGGGCAGGTCTGCAGGGAGTTACACACAGTGTGCAAATGGTGCAAGAGAAATAAGCACAGGGCAACGTGGGAGAGAGATACCAGGGGTGTCCCTCCCAGTTTTGAGAAGTCAGAACAGGCTTTTCTAATGTAATAATTTCTAATTCAACATTTGAAGGACAAAATGGAGAGAAAAGGATGAAAGGGGAACCCCCAAGTATTTGCAAAGGTCCGGAGGGTAAGTAAAAACCATAGAGGGACAGAGCAAAGAGGGGACAGAAGAGACCATATGTCCCAGTTTATGGTGCCTCCTCAAAGATGTGAGTCTTGGCAACTTCCAGCCAAGATAAAGAGAAAGGACACAAGGTACATTACAACGTCACCAGTACTGTTTACCCTTCCCATGCCCCTGAAAACATAGCACATTCAGGGAGCTACAAGGTCCCCAGTACTGTTTACCCTTCCCATGCCACTGGAAACATGGCACATTCAGGGAGCTACAGGGTTTCAGAATGATTAGAGCAGAAAGGGCAAGACCAAGAAGTGGCAAGAGATGAGCCTCTGAGATTTCCCCAGAGATGAGAGTCTGGAGGGCCTCATGACTTATATCAAAGATTTGGGGTATGGGAGCCGCTGAAGGATTCTAAGCAGATCAGATTAGAAAGATCCTCCTGGCTGCTCTATGGAGGCTGAATGGGAGAAGGAAGTCAAGACCAGAGGTGCGCAAACCCATTAGGAGACTATTGCAGTGAGGGACACTACAGTGGCCTGATTCTGGTAGAAAGTATTCAAGAAAACACTCATTTCTCCTTTTCATCACTTCCTCTTGAGTGACTCTGTCTTTTGGAGCTCTCTGAAGTCAATATATTTGCTTTGGCTATTAATATTCAGCAGGAATAGAGGGATGGTGCCCAGTTCTTGCCCCTGGGAGCTCACATCTCTTCCCCAGAATGTCGTGACTCTGTTCTTCAGCACAGGAAGGAAATACCATTTCCCCAGCTCTTTCTTCAAAAAAGTCACTCTCGATTTGCTTCTGAGCGATGTTTGTCTCTGGACAGAGCTTGGATTCCATGAGCCTGTGCGTGTGTGCGCTGCAGTCCAGCTCAGGGGTGGCTCTGCTTTTCTTGACTTCCTGGATGCCAGAGAACTTAAAACAGTGTTGTTTCCTCCTGATGCTTATCTCCACAACCCTTTCTCAGAATGTCTTGCCCATTAACTTTCTAACAGCACCATTTTTGGTGCCAAGCTTCTTGTTTGAAGGCTTGGAGCTTTACTGGAGCAAAAAACAATTGCATTTCTGCCTGTCACCCGCCTCTCATTCCCCTAAACCATGCCTACCTTTCCTCTGAGCCAACACACAAAGCTATG